TTTTTCCCAATGACAGACTGTGATATAACGGTGTTGGTGCCTATGCTTGTGCCCTGACCAACAATGACATCTTCCTGGAGAACACTACCCCTGAGGGCCACATTAAACAAAAATGCAACGAATGATATCATAATCTATATCGGGAAATGGACGGGGAGGAATTTTTCTCTTTGGAAAAATACCCTGACTTGATTTATGTGCTTTTGAACAGCATATCGATGGGATGAAAATAAGTTAATTTCCTTTCCAATTTATGATATGGTACTCTAAAGAGTACAGGTGAATAGGTGGTACGCATGTTACATGCTTCTTTGGCCAATAGGGTGTCATGATTTGCAAAATGCATGCGTGCCCCAACCTTAAGAACACAAGCACGTCTGGCACCCGAGTGACAATACATTAATACTGCAACATAACTGTTGTGTGCACCACACTTTACGTGAGAGAATACAGAAGCCTGTTGTGTGTTCAAAACAGTTCTTTCTTGTTCATGTGAGGAAACCCACAGCTCAAATGATTCACCAAACAGACCACAGTCAAATGGGTAGAACTGACCTTTCCAGTGTGACGTTGCTTGCTAGATATACATTGTGCCTGCCCAGTTTGTAGCCTTCACCTTCAGAAGTTAGAGTGTCCGGTACCAAGGGATGCACCCACCTCCTTATTACATCCTTGCTGTGTATCAAACGATTACAGGGAGAACACGTTAATATGCACTACTCGCCAGACTTGTAGCGAGACTAAACACAGATGATGTTCAACTGTTAGAAACCTTGGAGAATATTCACAGTTTGTTGCCACTTATTCATATACTAAAGACCTTTACATAACTTTTTACAACAAATTTAGAAAAAAGACTGAAAATATCCTCAGAATGTTACTTTTTGGTGCAGGAGAGGTGAGATTAAGCAGAAAATATTCATCTGTCATGTCTGTTGTTTTATGAATCTCTTACAGTGATGTGTGTGAAACTTTCAGGAAAAGTGTAGCTTTCACCACGGGGAAAAATTCTGCTATGATCCAAACATCGGCCCTCTTGAGTCTTTCTTCTTCAACAAAATTACCGACTGTGAACTGAACCATGCCAGAAAGGAGTTACCAACGGCTGAGCCATTCTTTGATTTGAACATCTTCTGTATTGGCCAAGTAGACGGGTAACCTACCTAATGGAATCGTACATTGGAAGATCTGTGACCCTAGCAGCGTACTCTTCCTCAATAACATGCATGTACAGTTTGTTGCCTTCAATCTATTGAAAACAATGATAACAGACTGATTACTGTAATGTCAACGTGTGGTATGAGAAATTTCAAAATGTAGGGGCGTGGGATTTACACAGACTATTTGAAATAGTTCAAAAGTTTTGCTGTAGAGGAAACACTTTTGTAATTTCTTCCAAATAATTTAAGCAATTGCTATATAAGTAAATCTGCATTTTCCCGTCAAGGTTATTTTTGGCCAGAAACACAACTGTTGAAGAAAGCAAGAGACAAGCCAAACTCATCGGCCAAACGATCAACTTAATTCAAACACCACAACGAACTCTTGCGAGTTATTTGTGCAATATTAGCATGGTACTTTTCACGGTAACTTTATACATTGCAACACTCTATGATCCTGCCATGACGCGATATTTGCTATGGTGACAGGCCAAGTATAACACAGTACAGGCCATGGCCAAGTATAACACAGTACAGGCCATGGCCAAGTATAACACAGTACAGGCCATGGCCAAGTATAACACAGTACAGGCCATGGCCAGGTATAACACAGTACGGGCCATGGCCAGGTATAACACAGTACAGGCCCTGGCCAGGTATAACACAGTACAGGCCATGGCCAGGTATAACACAGTACAGGCCCTGGCCAGGTATAACACAGTACAGGCCATGGCCAGGTATAACACAGTACAGTCCATGGCCAAGTTTTCAGTGTTCAGTAGGTGGCCCACCTCTGCAGAGATCTCTCTCTGTGCTTGTGCCAAACCAAGAGTGCAGAATACATGTCTACCATCTCAGACACAAGGAATGCTAACCGTCCGTCAATTCCCAAGCCGCCCCTTAGAATAACCACTGCCGATTGTTCATTCTATGATAACGTACATCATATAGTAAAATCTGGACTCAAAATGCCTTTGTACTGACTGAAGCCATTTTATTGAGCTGAACACAAAAGCGATGGTTGCCTCACTTGCCGTTGTAATTATTGGTGCAAATAATAAATTTGGCTAACGTTGGTGAGCAAGCCTTTGCGTTATCTTTGTATTTGGCACAGTAAGATGGCTGCCAGTGGCTTCATCGACCTCTGTGTACTGATTAAGGGCATTATGGTCTCCAATCTTTATTTAAGAAGTCTATGAGTATGATGAGAACTTGTTCAAAGATAATACACATATTACATATAAATACGCCCAAATGATTGGTATTTTCGTACCTCCTCATTGATGAGTGTTCCCCGGATGAGATCCGACATGTTCTGGTAGTCAAAGTTGTCCACAAAGAGCTCGGTGACCCGCGGTGAGCAGATGCTAATGTGACTGTGCATGAGATCATACCGCAGGCTAAGCTCTTTGTTCTCTTCAAATAAATTCTGATCAGAAGGAGCGAAAGAAGATGACAAACAATCCAAAGTTATAAAACCAAAAAAAAAAAATGGTCCAACAACAGCACTGTTGTACCTCAAGGACTGTTGAAGATACAGAGATGATAAGTGATGTGTTCTGTCAAAGCCAGATACTTGTGAGCGGATGCTTTGAAACGGATTATAAACTATTATTGAAATACAGAGCTTCCCTTTTGAAGTGAACGTTTCATTTCTATAAATCGACTGTCTTTGGCCACATTTCGCAGATTTGAGGTTCATGATGACAAAGAGGCACGAATGTGCTTTTTGCCTTCTCAAAGCTGTCAAGAAAAATCTCATTCTAAAATGTTTAACAGAACGAGTCACATAACTGAGGCTCTAACTCTTTGACTTTTTTTGCCGTTCTCCACAATGTACTGTCAACTCCTGTTCTCACCAGTGGAAACCTTGCTTTGGTCCGGCCCCGCATTTTCTGGTAGCTGAGTATCCGGTGTGTGGAGTCCGTGCCAACCACAATGTCATCTTCCACACTGCGGGTCCGGTGACCGGGGAAAGCTTGCTTGAAGACTAACGTTATCACAGCTGACTTGTCTGTCTTGAAGCGGGCCCTGGGAAAAAAAATAACAAAGTTAAATACGATCTCATATATCAGTCAAAACAGTGCAAAATACCCAATTCACTGCCTTCAAAAGAAGTCCAATGGAAGAAGTCCAACATGTCCAAGAATCACATCATTGATTTCCGCCACGAGTTGAAGTGCTATCGGGAATTTTTTTCAGCAGGCTCATGTACATACAAAGATCATGCATTCATAGAATATAGCTGTGTACATGTACACGTATGCTCAGAGCACCCCAAGTCAAATGCGTATAAACCTGCAGGCGTATGAGAGCTGAGTTCTCAGGAAAGGACTATCACTGTTTTTTAAAAACATGCCCTCTCTTGTTCCAACTCAAAAAATGTAGTAAAATGTAATATACGGCGCTGTCGCTTGTAAGAGGACATGACCTTATTGTTCTCTGAAGTCATAAGATACAATAGATAAGACAATGTACCATACAGTGCTGTGGCACTATGAATACATGACTTTATTGTTCTCAGTACGAGTAACAATGGAAGATGCCCTAGCCAGAAGTAATTCCCCCCCAACAGAGAACTCTTCCACCCACCCTCCCCCGAAGAATTTGGCTACATGTATGTCTGCCACAACACAGCATAAGTACTCACTTGTGCTGTTCTATCAAGTCTTTGAGCAGCATGTTGGATAGCAGGTCCCCGCTGACGAGAACAAAGTGGGATCTGATCATGGACTTGCGCTCAACCTCCCTCAGGGCGTCGCCGACCGAGTGGCAGCCTTCAGAGGCTATCGGCTTGACAATGCAGGGGGAATTCGGCTGGCTCCACTTGGAGGCCCTGTACGCAGAAGTATTGATGGACAAATTTGAGGACACAAAAACTTTTGCCGATCAGAGATTCTCTCAACATATCTTGGTGCAAGAAATTACAGACATGAATCAGCGGAGACAATTTTTGTGTTAGGCTGCTCGAGACAGAACTTTGACAAATGGAAGAAAATACACATTCTTGCTAAGTGAAAAGGAGGCTACTAGCAACGTTTGGGCTGCAGGCCAGTCTCTGGGTAACCTTACTATACATGTTAACAACCTGGTGATAAGCCATTTTGGACACCTTGTTGTGTGAGAAAAATGAAAAAGCATAGAAACATTAGCAACTTGGACACCATGTATATCACTTCAAGGCAAATGTGGACAACTTGTTATCCAATGCTAGCTAAAAGTCTGGTTCAAACCAACCAAAGTATGATGCGTTGTACACTTAGTGGTTCCTAACTTGCTTGGCACTGAGGTTTGCCTGGGTTAGAAGTCCTATGGCATATTGACCAACAGATAATCATCCATAGGAATGTGTGTACTTACTGAATGTGGTTTTTTAGCTGGTCGGCATGAGAACAGCAGAAGACAAATATCTCCTGGATTCCAGCACTGGCTAAAAACTCCAATGTGTAGTCAAGCAGTGGACAGTTGACCAGTGGGAACAAAGCCTGTACACAAAATCGAAATCAGCTGAACTTTTTTGAAAACAAGTATCAAGGTTGATTTAGATCAACTGATTTGAATCATTGATTTGATTTACACCTGTTTCAGACAAGCGTTCCAGAGTTGCACCAAACCAAATAAAATTAAGAGTGACTTGAGTCGACTCAATTAAATTTTGGTTTCAGACAGACGAACTTAACACATACATTTGCTATGGGTTCAGCTCATGAGAAGAGCGACGTCTGAAACATGTTCGTCATGTTTGTGTGGTCATCTTTCCACTACACCACAGACACCACTCAAACATAACTGCAATTTAATAACCTTTAATACAGGTTCACTCATGTACACGTGTTAAAGAGGGCACTGTCTATTCTCCAGTTATATCAGCTAAATATCGTTCAGATAATTTTTGCCAACGCTGGCTACATACACACCATCTCCCATTTCACTAAATCCACAGGATAATCTTCAAGTTAAGTTAAAGGGTATTATCAGCTGAAAGCTTTAAAATTTACAACTGAAATTTAAGTGAAGAATTTTAAACATACAGTACATGTACATTATAATCAATACATATGCAAGCAAACAAGCAGAAATAAAAGACAAAATCTTTGACAATTACTTAGACCATGCTCGGAGTACCAACCATGATGATTACAACATACAGTACTACAGTACAGCAATGTTAACCACGGCAAGTCGGAGGAATACGTACGGCATGATTACAACTTACATGGTTACATACATGTACATGTACACATCGTGTAAGTGTGTTCTTCAGTTGATTTGGGCTGGTTTATCCGAATGCATAATATTATGACTCATTTTGACTGCAGACAGGCATGTAAGCCTAGACTTAGGCCTGCATGTACTTCAGAATGTGAAATGGGTGCAGGCTTGTCGATGGAGTGCCACAAAAATCGGCACAGGCCAACGCCTCCCTACTATAATTTCATAAATGAAATGTGCATGTGAGGTAATCGTAACCTGCATGACCTGGCATAGCATTCATAGCATGTGAAGTGCGGGGGGATGCGCTATGCAGTATGCTCACCCGTGGTCTCTCTGCTGTTATTGGTGCAAACCGCACATTGAAACTGTCTGCTAACACCACTGCTTGCAGAATGTCTTCTTGCTGCAATATGCTGTCCCCCCTCCCCTTATTCCTCTTCGTATTTGCAGCCATTCCGATGACAACTTTCCCGCACGTTTCGTCCACAGTGCCATATGGGTTTGTGTCTCTTTCTTTGCTGGTAAGGATATCCCATTTGCGGATCAAGTCCTTTTCGCGAATGGGATGGAAATGATCAAAATTATTTAGGCTTTGTTTTCAATGAAACAGCCAAAAACTTTTTGCAAACACCATGTTGTAGTTCCTTTTCACTTTTATCGTTTTTTTTCTATTCTAAAATACGCTATTACAATGAAAATGAACCGCAAACAGCCGTTTTTATTATTAATTATCACGCTGTTAATACTCCCACATTACCATTTGCAAATTTTTCGATATTCTTAAACTGGCAGTGTTTTTAAAGGGTTACACATTCTTGATCAACATGGCAGCGACTTCCTCCTGGCTTCGTTACTGCTCGTTTTTAATCTTAATTTCGTGTGCGATAAAAGTGTGTGGACAAGGTGAATTGGACATAAGTATTTACAGCAGTCCTTACTTTCAGGTTATGTTAGGACACCTCTGCTTGTTTGTTTCACTCAAGTTTTAAAAACTTATTTATTAGCGTGGTGTAGCGAGGCCTACGTGTGCCTGGCACGCCTGGTGTACCGTAGCTCGTCAACATGATCGATGCTATACTCAGGCCTGACGGTGGGCTTCGTCATGTTTGTTAGTGTTACGTTTGTCAGTCACTTTTGGTTTATTCTACCGTATGTCCAAGACATAGGCTAGGATATTTTCAGTTTTCAATTGTTCTGGGGAAGAAGGTTTTGTTAAAGACCTTCGTGCGATTAAAGTTGGAGGATAATAGCTAGGCCTAAAGTCTTAGAACTGAAGCTGAGCTTACACTTTTAATTTTTTTGGTTGTTTTTATGTTCACGTCATTATCATTGTAATTAGGCCTAGACACTTTTCTTTTTGTGGTCACAGTGATATTCCAGTGTGGTTTTACTCTTCTGATGAAGTTTATCATTAAAGTTAGTTTGCGTTTACCTACATTCATGACATTCAGATAATGTTGATATGATAAATATTATGCATATTTCTTGTATTTTTAAAAGTGTGTTTATGCAAATCATACATTTTTACTCCAATTTTATTCCTTGTTCCTACATGTATGATTAAGTTACAACGTGATCTCATTAGGAGGAGTTTAATTTTTTCACTGCCTCAGCAAATTTAGTATGTTATATTCTGTTTGTTCCATTTTGCTTCTTTAACCTTTTTGATTATTTACTCGCCCTATATACATGTATTTATTTCGTTCCTTTAAGTTCAAACTATCTGTTTTCTAAACGTAATTTTTAGTGGTTTATATACATGACCCTCAGGTGTAGATTTTTGTATCAGGTATATATTGGTTCTAGAGAAAACCCTTCCAACCTCAATGTGATAGTACAGACTAATTGAACAAGTGCGTAAAGAATAAGGAATGCTGGTTGTTTCAATATTCTTTTTTTCAATCTTCCCTTAGGGGAAACCACCACCAAGTTTGATATACCTACACCACAGCAAACAGAATCCAATCCCCCGGCTAGCACCAAAGAGTCCATCGCTAACATGACCACTGCCTCAAATGAGAGCAGTCCCAGTCAAGAAGCGGACCTGACCACAGCACAGCCAACAACCCAGGCTGTGTCCAGCACGGCGATGCCCAGTTATCTGGCCGTTTGCCCCAGCTTGGTCAACTGTACCAACTTGAGTGTCGAGTGTCTGGACTGTCAGCTGAATTCGTCGTGCGTGTATGGACGAGAGTACAACGTGACCTGCTCTCCCAAACCAGACCTGAATTGCACAGTAAGTGTCATTCGCTCTTGTCTCTTCTCAGGTCCGTCATTTGAGTGAGTGGATCAAATTGACAGCCTGATAAGGATCATGAGTGTCATTGGGGGTGTCCTCTTGCCCTACCCTGGAATAGATAAAGAAAAAAAAAAAAGAAACAGGAAAGAAAGGAAGTGGATGAAAATCACCAATTTATGTGAGAATACCTTCAAATTGACTCTCCTTCCACCATTGGTTTGTCAGTTTGCCACTGATGAGCTTTGCCGCTCTTCTGGCAACATCCATGATTCCGACTTCAGGAGGGGAAAGCCCGAGTCCAGACACTGCACATTGCTGGGAGTGTGATACTATAATGCCGGAGATGAATTCCATTTCCATCTTGAATGCGTCCTACAAATACATGTGCGATCGGTCCCAGGGTTTGGCAAATCCATGCTACGCAGCTGCATAGCCTATTATACCAGCCCTGGGTATGATGTTTTTGTGACCAACATGAGAACCATGTTTCTGTCGTTGTATGCACATGCACATTTTTGTCTAGTCAACCAGAAACGGATAGACCAAAAAACCCCAAACAGAAAGCCTTTCATTTGGTTTCAGATGAAAAGGTAATAGGTAATATGTTTTTCATCACAATAAAATTGTGATTAGATTTGCTTAGTGCGTGAACATGTAGATAAGCTCTGAGGCGAGTGACACACGCCTCCCGTGCGTGACTTGGTAAGTCAGCATTTTTCAGTGTCTGCTACTAGCTATGATTGCCTCAACAGTGAGTGTTTCTTCTGCTGTGCGTATCGCCCACAGCAATGGTGACAGTGCCCCACAGGCTCCCAAACTCGTTTTGCCTTGCTGACAGTGGCTATTGTTAAGGTTACCAGTCACTTTCTTCAAATTTTTAAGCACCTTGGACTTGTTTCCGTCCTAGGGAGACCAAGTTTTTATGAAACGGTTCCGATGTCGGTACTGCTATCAGTCAGATGCCAGCGAACACACTTGTACCCATAACACCAACTGCAGGGTCAACAGCAACCCGCCCACCATGGTTCGGGTCAACTGCTCTATCAACGATGATGTCCTCTGTTTAGGTAATATAACTGTGACATCATACATGTATGAATGTATGTTTTGGCTGATTGAGGAAACAGCTGCAAACTTACACTGGGGGTAATTTCAATTGATTTTTGAGATTTTGAAAATTGGTTATTCTACCAATGTTTAAAATGCTCTGCAAAACTTTCAAATTGAAGTTCAATTTACTGAAAACTGAAACTCTAAAGGTCTGTTTGAAATAGGTATCATTTTATACTAATATTGTGATCACTCAAGAATGACAAGAATGGTACTATTGCTTAGTGTGCCTGATTTTAAAGGCCATTGAAAGGATATCGGACTACTTGACCGTTTGCCAACTTGACTTCGGACAACTCGTCCGTTACGACAACTCGACCATTGAGATCTCTACACCTACATGTAATATAGTCGTTTTCCCAGTTCCAGATCGCAAAAATTATTCAGTCAGATTGCAGCTGCAAAAAATCCTCAAATTCCTCAATGTTTCGTATGCCTTGCAGGTCAGAGGAAGTTTTACAGAAGAAACCGGTGTAACTGGACGTCGGGGTACCGGTGGACCACGGCTCTTACTTTCAGGTACATGAATGCTTTACTCATATACTGTTGGGATTTGCTTGAAATTCATGTTTAGGTTTTATTGGAACTGGGTGCCTGTTTTCGGCCAGATCGGGCAGCAGTAAGACTGTCATTGCTTTTGAAAAGATTGGCCAGAGGTGAACATGTTTTGTCAGAGTGCAATCTCCTCTGCCAAGTGCCTTTCCCCCTTTCATACGTGCTGCTGCATGAGCCTGCTGATCCACAGTCAGTGAAATAAAGCTTTTGCTGAAGCATCATTTGCAAAGTTTGCACAGAAAAATAACTTCTAATTGGAGATTGGATGACTTGTCACAGATTTACAGATTCTCATGAAAAACCCCTTTGTTAAACACTTGTGTAATTACTCACAGTGTTGTTATGGGCTTCTGTAGCCATTCCCGGTGAGAAATGTTCTGATCATACTGTTTTTGTCCTTCCAGCATTACATTAGGTGGTTTTGGCGCAGACAGGTTCTACCTGGGCTACTGGCGGCAGGGTCTGGGCAAACTCTTCAGTTTTGGCGGGCTGGGTGTCTGGACGCTAGTCGATGTTGTGCTCATAGCCGTGGGTTACGTGGGGCCAGAGGATGGCTCCTACTACATATGAAGGGCAACAGTAGTGGAGGGTAAAATGAGCAGGAAGCAAGACACGGTGCATCTGTTTGTGACTATCAACTGGGTACTCATGCTGAACAGTGGTAATGTTTTTATCAATGACGTGCTGCCGAACTATTCCACCACAGAAAAACATTTTGACATGATTGCATTCCAAGCTATTGCATGAATACTATGGAGTCATGGAGGATCTGTTGCTGTGCAAATCAGCCAGCTGGGCCAAACTTCAGGGGCTAAGCTTTCTGTTCAGAAATTTCTGCAGTCAGTGAACAGGCCAGGGAGGGATTTGGGCAAAGATGCGTGATTTTTGTGGTAGTGATGCTAGCACAGACTGATGTTCCTGGGCACGCAATTCTGCAGCAAGCGGAGAGGTTTTGCAAGAAACTAGCCGGTAGCCTAAGTGAAGTGAATGTCTACATCATCAGTGGAGTTTTGCTTTTTAAACAGGGGAGGTTTGCTCATTCTAATCACTAGAGATCTCTTCAGAACCTCTCACTTCACACCAGGCTGGGTACCTTGAGTCATTCAAGCAGTGAAGCACATTTCCAGCACGCTGGTCATTGAATTTGAAAAGATTGAGACTACATGTATTGGTAAAATGATACAGATGAATTCTCTATCGGTGAAAGCCATTTGGTTTGAAAAGCTTTTGTGAATTAAAAAGAAGTTTCATCAAATTGGTTTTGAAGACATTAGATGTAGTGTAAATCAAGAATTGCCCATGTAAGCTTACATGTATTTCCACTGACTGTGAGAGACATTTGCAATATCTGCAGAATTATTAGTTCATAAACCCAACCCGACGAATGAGCTGCACTTCAGCTCTGCAGATAGAAATGACAAAGTGTGGCAAAACCCTTTTGCGGATGTTAACACTTATTGTACTAAGATCACACTGTAAATACATGTACAGTAATTTTTTCATCATGAAGCTTTCTTCATGAATAATTTATTCTGTACAAAGGACATATGGAACATACATTAAAAGAACCATTTTATTATACATGTATTTCCAAATGATATCTAATGTTTGTATTTAGACAAACTGCTTAGTGTCCTTAAAATCTTACATGTAGTGTGCTAGAGGTGAAATCTTTTTATCTTTTGTATCTTTACCGATATATCTTCATGTAAAAAATATAAACAGCTTCTTGGTCATTCCCAGCTGCATAAACATGATGAACAAGTGAAGCCACGTGCTGGTTCCCATACCCATCCATTGGAATGTGCTGAGGGAACCAGTGTAAAGAGTTCCATAATACAGACGTCACTGATTTTGTCCCCGCAGTGACCTGTTAGCCTTCTCAAAGCAACCACCTCTAAAAAATGTCCAATTTAGCTGTGAAAATATTGAGGTATTCACTTTAAAAACTTTGTTCAAGATGTTTTTCCATAAGGCTTGTGCGTAGGGTGTCAAGTGGCGCCCGTATATGGAAATTTTTCCGAACCAGTCTCAAATCGTTGAAGAGCCGTTACAAATTTACTGTCTGCGGAGTTGTAAAACACCGAGGCCAGTGATTTCACTTCTTGGAGCCAATGCTCTATCAAGTTTTTTTCCCATGGAGGAAAGTGATTATGCACGAGGAACGCATCTGTTCATGAACATGAAAGGGGGCTTCCTTATCAAGTGACTATCTCCCATACGGTGTGCTTCTGCACGGACATTTAGTGTGCTATATGCATGGGTGATTTTGCAAATCACTGACGAGCACTAAGCTGGTGTGTCTTGAGGGGTGGTGGGTGAGAAGTACACGTATCAATGTTGGAGGCATTTCAGCCATTCCCACCCCCCTTCGTTTCTGTGTTTGTTACCGGAGTGGGGTTACTTGTGCTCAAACGGTATTACGACTTGGGACCCCAAGCTTTTGAATTCAGTGGTGTGCCAACAACCGGTGATTGTGGTTCTTTGGGTGCATGGAAGATGGTCCATTCCTCTAGGCATCTTTCATGGTGTTCGTCAGGCCAGGTGTATTACACTGGAGAATGTTGTCATGACACAGGAGCTGTGGACGTAGAAGCACCTTCTCCTTTCTGATGCTCTCTCCGTCTCTTCTTCAGCAGTTTGTGCTTTTTCTTTTCCTCCTCGTCTGGATCCTGCAACATAGGAAGTACAAAAAAATGGAAACCATGTAACTTAAAAAGCCCACCAGTTGGTATCTCACCAGTTTAAATTGGAGTATTGAAAGGGTGACAGCTGAAAAAGCCCCTAAATTCTGACCAATATTTTAAATCTAGTTCACCCTTTCTTGATGCAACACACTTTCTAAAATGCCATGGACTTTATGTAAAATTCGCGACTGCGCTAAGGCAATAACTGGAGGTTTATGGTGGCCCCTGCCAGCATCTTGATAACCTCTCTATGGAACCAAAAGCTAAACAGTGCTTTCTGCCATTAAAGGGGCCATTAGGAATGCCCTGTAAAGCGTTGCCAAATTCCTAAATACACAACTTGAAACCACAAATAATAACATTTACAAAGCAGTTGACATCTGACCTTGCCCTCTAGAATCATTTGTTTTCGCTTGTTAATGGCTCTCTTCTCCCCAAAATCAAGCTCCTCAAGTTTCTGAAAAGAAGAAGAAAGTCTGTATGAATACAACTAACAAAAACTGCACGGTTTGTAAATTCTTTAGGGATATGCATCTCAATCCTGTGTCTAGAACTACAAGCAGGTCTAAGTCTGAGCGATTGAGCTTTTGCAGCCATCTAGGACAGCAGGGGGATTGCATTTCATGTTTTTTCAATAGTTCCTTGCCATGTTAAAGGAACCATTACCGAGTACCAGCTGCCAGGGGTCTAGTGACCAATTTGGTGACGAGAATCATGAGCCATTACTGCGGTGTCCCCTACACGCATGTACAAATGAGATGCCCATTGAAATGCTTCCTCGGCCTATGGGAGCGCACTGCTAACCAAAGTCACGCACACATGAAGTTTACGCATGCCTGCCTGAATAACGGGGACACCGCAAGTAATGGCATCGGCGAATCGGTCTATGCCTTAACAGCAGCTTGTGGAGTTATTCCTGAAATATCTGTGGCATTCTCCAACACCTGTGTTGACCTACACAAGATTTGAGGGCAGTGCAGGTGTTTTGAGTTCCCCAACAATCAAGTACCCATGGAACCACGATTTCTAATAGCAACCTGAAGCAAGATGAAGCAATTTTAGCACTGTACAACACCCCCCCCCAAAAAAAACTTTCCTGAAATAAACCAAGGCATAAACCAAGTTTAGAGGCATTTTTTTCGACAACAGACACAGAGCACATTTCTCATTGGTATTGGCAACTGATCAACAAACAGTTGCACTTTGTTCTGTGTCAAAATATTTACAGATAAACATGTGCTTTTTGGGTAATAAAAACGCAAAAATGTGGTGGAGACCAGTCTGGTATCACGGTACTATTCCTCAGAGCCTTGCTTAGAAAGAATAAAATTACTCGTTACGAGGTGTGGTGTGAAGCTAAGGTGACTGTAGTCTTTCCTGTCATTACCATTTCCGCTTGTCTTTTTGCCAGGGCCACCTCATTCAGAATTGGCAACACGTTCTTCTTTTCGTCTACTTTGAACTCTGTCAGCTTGGTGTCTAAACAAAAACATTGAAAAAAAATATGCACCAAAGCTTTTAATTAATGAGAATTGTGGAGAAATGCTGCAGAAGATTAATACTCACTGCCTCAATCTGCTGTGTGTTGAATGATTTGTGACGAGCGGCGACTTTGACAAATTGGCCTGACCAATTAATGATCAAGCCTGCTCGTGCCGTCTCGTCAACACAATACTCGCAGTTTAAGGTGCGGTCTTTTTTCATAAACTTCAACAGCCTAATATAAGACTTTCCTCAGGACAGAGGCTTCACAATTGTGTTTCTTTATCCTCATTGACAAAATACTTTGCAGGATTAATTTCAGGACATGCGTATTAAAAAAATGTGAAAAAAAGTTACAATTTGTCAAGAGCTATCATCAACAAGACCACATGCAGTGTAAGTCACACGCAAAGAAAATGCCTTTCAACTAAAGAATGCCACACTTGCAAGACCTCTACACTTTGCTCACGGGTGTGCTTTCCAATAACGCTCCATGGACCCCTACTGGTGCCACAGAAAAGCCCACTCGTTTGTAAACAAAGCGAGGAGTCATCGCAACAGGTCCTGTTGCTTTCATTCTTATTACGCACTGATGAGTTTTTCGATGGCCTTGATCAGCTGCACGTCAAACTGTGTCACAAGAGATATCGCCATGCCTCCTCTTCCTAAGGCAAAACAAACAGAATAAATGATTACACGTGCTGCGCTTTGCAAGTTACCTGTGCCATTTGCTATCTCATTTTGATCATCGTTGGATGCATTGGCCTGAAATGCATGGCTGATGAATAGTGTGAACTGTAAAAAATAACTGCCGATCGGGAACAGAAGACTTCCCAGAGAAGAATTTGTCCTACCAAACAAAATAAGCCTGAGGTTCTTGGCGTTTTGGAGTCAGTCAGTGAGACACAGGCCATGCTCAATGGTGGAGCTACCGTAATAACAAAAATAAAGAAAATGCTCAAAGGCGAGAATCAGTCTTAAAATCACTCTCCAACTGTGACACTCACACGTAAAAACATATAAACCAGACTGCAAAATCCACCATGTTTCAACACACGGAAACATTAAGTGAACAGGAGTTTTGGTACAAGTTGTGGCGTAGTCCAAAATTGGAGCAACGCTGACTTCACAAGGCTTACCTGCTCTAGCTGTGCGACCGACTCTATGCACGTAGTCTTTCGGTGACGCTGGAATGTTGTGGTTAATAACCAACTGCACCGTGGGTATATCTAGCCCTCTGCTGGCCACATCAGTGGCAACCAGAACACGGACTTGATTGGACTTGAACATTGCCAATGCGGCCAACCTTGTTCTCTGTATTATCGGAACAATAATAATCAGATGGGTCAGAGTGAAGTCGAGTTTACACTGTTATGTGTAATCAGCTCTCTCTTCCCTCCCTGCCCCCCATATTGCAATAGAACTAATATATTAAAGAAATATTATTAAGTTCTTAGAAAGATAAACCAAAAAAGCAAAAGCCAGCCACTTCTCAGACCGACAAGTGTTTTGAGGGGGGGTGCAATCACACCCCAAAGACAAAACATTTGGCAGAAGGCGCGCCAACTCTGAGAGAGAGAGAGGGACAGTTGCCGGTCCTGTTCCCTCAAAGCTCACCTACCTACCTACACGGTGAGTTGAACTTGATTACCTGTTTGACCAGTGAATGAAGGCTGACGCACGGTAGGCCCATTTCCCTCAGCATGATGGCTAACATGTGGCAATACCTTGAGCAGAGAAAAAAAAATTCCAGCAGGTTTAAGGCATCAGCGGAACATACACTCAGCCCATACAATGAAGTAAATCTGCCAATTATGGTTAAATTAAGCTAATAGCCCTATGTACCGATGATGTTTCAAACGGTTTACTGCAATGCACTGGTGGGATAGAATGAGGTCACTGGTGCATACACTGCAGTCATAAATATACATCAGCATGATTATTTCTGATTCAAACAAGGCAGTTGTTACCATCCTTTTGAATTTTCCAGGGAAATTATCCTCCACAACTGAAAATGCAAAGATTACACCTTTCATTTTCTTGTGATCAAATGTAACTTGTATGTGCAGTATTTCTTGTACTGTTGGCATACATGTAGGACCACCCCATTTCAATCCCCACCAAAGGAATAGTACTGCTTTGTAACAACACATCATCTCTTTTACACAAACACGGGGTTGATACAAGTCCAAACTGGACACCATTTAACTGTTCCTTGCCGCGGCTGCCCACAACTGTTAACACTTCATCTCTCATATTATAATCAGAGCAGCAAGAATCCGGAAGCAACTACAAAGTGAAGCCGGTGGCCTGATGCTGCTTGAAAACTAGATCAGCAGTGAAAATGGTAGAAATTCACCAAGCAATATGACTTTGAACGGACTCATAAATAATGCCGGCATCCCAGTACAACCCCAAATTGGCCCAGTTTCTCACTGCAAACTCCTAGATGTTTTTAATACTTTGTTCTCACCTTTCGTCACAGCAATGAATTACATCAAAACCGCAATCGTTGGCTTTACAGGCATAATATTTGACCATGAAGGACCGATCCACACCAGGCCCCCCAAAGTATAATGACAATAGTACAGAACGTGGAAATTGGAGGAAAAGGCAATAAAAGCAGAGAAAATATTTCTGAAATCCTACTGAAGTAGGAAAACATCATGGCTGGCTTCAGCTGTGGGCTGAATGCTCCTTAATTCATTAATCCTGACACTCCAGGCTATGCCTGCTAGAAACCCTACCAGACACATCAGTCAGCATCATTTGTCAAAGTGGCTCGCCTGCCCATTGTAACAAGATGCAACAGGTCAACTCTCCCTGACGCCAAACAGCCTGGGAGTCTGTGGTCGCCAGTCACCACAACATCCAACAGTGGAACTGTGCAATGGGACTAGCTCCTATTGTCTCAACATGACCAGTTTGTCTGGCTGCTGTTGATTGCCCAGTGCATCAGACTTGTTTGCCCGATGCACTGTGCTGCGTCTGGCAGGGGAAGGGTAAAACATGTGAGAAGGTAAGTCAGTCAGTGAAAGTAGCGTACTTGCACGTGCTGGTGAATATCATGACTGATCTCTTCTCATCCTCGGAGCAGAATTGGTGGACAATGTGCATCAGGTAGGCATCCTTGACTTGGGCTGGTGTGATGCAATATCGCTGGTCCAACTGCTCAACTGTCACCACACTTCAAAAAGCACAAACAACCCTCAATCCTCAAAAATTCTCCAAAAACGCCCAAAGGATTAACAATGTTGGCAAGTGCCCAGACTGTGATGTGTACTTGAATACACAACTGACCATGATCACCTTAGCAGTTACTTATGTAAAATCTTCAAAAATTATTAAAAAACTTTGTTTTAAAACAGGAAAACTTTAAACTGATCATTTGCCAACAAACCTGAAATAAAAATATTGTTTCTGTATGCAAAAAAAAGCCGAAAAGGTCTTCTTCTAAATGTTTTATTTTACATAGCACGGCATGGTGCAGTAACACTGGCTATCTGGTGGCGAAGTCATAACATGACAAATGTGTGCCCGTTGCTTAGTTCCAAAGGTACCTGACTGCACGGGAAACAGGTATTCAGTTCCAATCAAACTTGTAAAAGAACAAACCACAATTAACAAGTTGATAACAGCGTTCAAGGACATGACACCAACTTCAAGACATCATTGGGTTTGCAATTAGCCTTTGTGGAGTATGGTGCGATTTGGTTTGGTAAAACTTTTGCTCAACATTTGCCCACTTCAAATAGCAGCCTTGTCCTGTGTCGGCCATACGTGGGCTTAAAAGTTACAGAATCATTTGCACACTCTGACTTCTGACAATGGACAGGGCATAAGGTCTGCAATGTTGAGTCTACCAGACCTCCTCAGAACCTCATTCACTTACGGAAGAGATTTCACGTGAGGCTACTGCAAAGCTTCATGCCACTGCTACATCCAGACACCTTCAAGTCGTATACACTTTGCACCAGCTGGGGACATTTTACTCACGGGGCTTTGGACATCCAAAAGAAGGGCTTGCTCATGGACACTTTCTGTAGCTCTTTCATGGTATCGGTGATGGTGGCGCTGAAAAGCAAGGTCTGCCGGACAGTTGGGATGGCGTCGAAGATGACCTCCAGGTCGGGACCAAAGTTGCCCTCCAGCAACCTGTCTGCCTCATCCAGAACCTGCCGGACAGGATTTCATGGAAGTCTTTGAAGCGAAGAGTGGTCGCTCCAGAGCGACTGCCCCAATGTAATGCATTAACACGTACAGCATGTTACCCCCAGAGGCTAAAAAATGTGGCACATGGTTTTCCCGATTTTTCGTTTCTTTACAGCGCATTCCAAAATAGTCTCCCTCACAGCAGCTTCATTCTGAAAATTCCACGTTTTAAACACAAAGTGGCAAAAGCATCATTGCTGATAGCCAGTGGTTTTCCATCTCGGTGAAATGTACATGCGCATATGTGGGTGCTCCGTGGTTATTTTTCTGGCACAAAATAGCAGGGCAACATTTTCATCGAGCAGAAGTTCGGAAAATGTACAAGTAGTGACTTTCTCTTTGTACCGTTTTCAATCAAATCTATCCAGATTCTGTGCATTGAGTTTTCGTAAAAACCAGACAATGAAGTACCGTATGCAAAGGAACGTACACCGAGGCATATTAAACTTGACTCATTCAAAGACGCATGGAAACATTCCAAACTAACAAGCTAAACGGTCTATCTTGGAGAGATTTACATGTACATGTACTATGCATGTGCCGACAGAGGATGTCAATAGTCCTGTTATATTGAATGTTCCAGTAATGTTGCATAGTGTGAAGGCACACAAAACAGATTTCAAGTATTGGTGTAAATGAGCATGAGCATGCATATGGATATGTGGCATGGATGGCAATTAACATAAGGGACATGGTTGTCCAGGTAGCCAAATAACAGCCTTGTTGTCATCAAACTTTAAAATTTTCATCTGTGGCTTGTAAAAAGTGCAAATAAATACATACATGTATAAACATATAGAAGGAGGTATACAAGTGAATAAATGTTATCAAATTCAGTCAAACTGATCTTGGCTTGTTCAAGTGTTGGATCATTCTGTTTCATACTTACCAGGAACTTGATTTTTCGAAGATCGCATGTGTCGGTGCTCTTGATGTGGTCAGCCAGCCGGCCTGGAGTTGAGATGACCACATGGGGCTTCTTGGACAGCTCGAGGCCCTGCCGTATCATGTCTGACCAAGAGCAAGGGGGCAAGGCATGAATGTTTGGAGGGGGAACAGAATGGTAGCAAATCAAAAAGATTGCAAAGAAGTTTGTTAAAATTAGTCTTTTGCATGCAGTTTGCAAATGTCAGAATGTGCCTATTATGTATGGAAAATTTACACATTCAAAAAATACAATGAAAACTAAAAATCTAAGATGATTAGAAATGCCTAACAGAACCCAGATAAAAAAGTGGAAACTTTGTATGTTACGTTACAGGTATATGCAATAAAAAAAGTTCTTGGTAAATAAAAACTTGATATACAGTACAGGTCAGAATTTTAGCCGACACGCAATCATGCTTAGCGTGTCAGCTTGTATCGAGTCAAACAGACACGAAAGGAGTTAACCACAAACAGGAAACACGCTGACCCCTGCATGACAAAGAATGCCAACACCACAATCCGATCTGCCGAGTAGCACACGCCACACGCAAATTCCAGAACAGCCAGGCCATTGTTGAGCAGAGCGGTCATTTTCCTAGTTTCCCACAACAAAAAGTATTCAGTTTGACTGCAGCTCAAGTTATCTTCAAATTCCATGGAAATGTTGTCAGTAGTTTACCTTGTATGTAGCAGGCATCACAAAAGCATTTTTGAAGATAAAGCGTTTTGTTTGTCCATGCAGGATCAATGAAAGTGCCATGCAGGTAACACTTTTTGGTTTATGTCTGATGTGCTCCCAAAACTTCTGAATCAGGCACAGAAAATATTCGAGCGTGAAATCAATTTTTCAACCGAGATGATAACTATCAGTTTTTATGACAAAACCTTTCCTATATTAGGGAAAAGTATTTTGAGAGAAATCCACAAAATATGAACCTTGCCGGTCCACTAGCCAAATTTTAGTCAGACAGCCCCCTAAGCGGCGATTCTAGCATACACACTTTAGCTCAGTGTGTTCAAACTCGCGTGAATATAAATTTTATGTGGGGTGGGGATTTTTCCCATCAGTTTTCGACCTTTTAGCTGGCAAACCTACCTAAAAAATCACTCTGATTGTGACGACATTAGGATCAAACTGAATGGCAAAGATCGAACTAAAATGAAAGGAAGTCAGGTCTGCACTAGCGCTAGTGACGTTCATGTACTGGCTGCACACAATGGACAAAGTAGCACCCATGTGAACTTCATAAATATGCATGTCGTGTGACTTGTAAAGGCTGTAGCTTTGCATTTGTTGGCGCTGTATC